ATAATCAATCCTTAACTTTCTTAAATTAGTCTCTTAATGACTTTTAACATTATAGAAAGGATGAGAAATCTAACCCGAAAGAACTGCGTGTAGGGCATCGAATATGACTGATAAAGACACTAATGGAGCCATTGATCTTACGTAATCGACAACTTCGGTTTCAGAGCTGAATAGGTAACCAAATACGTTTCTTGCAGCAAAGACTACTGCACCAACCATTATTGATTCTACTCCTGTCATAACCATCACTGTGTAAACTATCATTCTAGCTTCTTTCGGGTTTCCAGCTCCTAATTCGTTTGCTACTCTTGTACTGCAAACAAAGAAAAGCAAGAGAGAGGGTTTAGGTTTTTAGATAGCTCGCATTTTTGCAAAGTCGAAAAGAAAAACAGACGGATAAATCGAGAAAGAACCTCGCTGCTGCGCCTAGGCTCTCTGGTATTTGGTACAATGAGGAGATTGTTGATAGACTGTTAAAGAAAGAAGCAATAAACCGAGTTTTATATTGATAACATTCCATTCCAAAAACAAGTCTTTGMAGATTAAGAACATACCACACTGAAAGAACAGAGGTTTCTAGYTTCGGATTCGGTAAAATCCCAGAAAGCATGACCAAGAATTCGAATGACCACCACTCGAGGCTAATTCAACACCAAGAAACAACAATTAGATTCAATTCTTTGCAACCAAAGGTCCAAAAAGAGGCAAGAGAAGAGTTTTATACCAAATCATAGATGCAGATGGGATTCCAAACCGGAAAAACTCTCCCATTCCWCCAAACACACTCATGGTAATCGCTGCGCGGCTCTTACTACAGCTCGAAGAAAACATCATGTACAATCCAAGAACACTCACGTTTAGCCAGTAAGAAACACTAATCGCAACAGCTGCACCAAGACTCCCAAGCCCAAACTTGAAAACAAAGCACCAGCAGAGAACAACATGACAACAAAGAGCAGAGATTGAGCTCATAATCAAAGGCAAAATCAGACTCTGCGCTTGGAAAAATTGAACAAGAGGCTCCAATGCCGCGTAAGCAAATAGTGCGGGGATAAGCCAAGTCGCAAACTTTCCAGCTTCTTGAGAAACCATAGGATCTTGTCCAATCAAAGCGAGTATCTCACCCATGTAACTCCATAGAACAGACAAAGGTATACACACAAGAAACAGAGAGAAAATCCCTGTATAAGTATGTTCTCCAAGCTTTTCGTATTGCTTAGCTCCATTAGCTTGACCACATAAAGTCTCCAAAGCAGTCGCCAATCCAAACTGTAACCATTAAACCATAATCATCCATCAATCACATAACCTAAACCCTTAAAGACTAGATTGGAGAGATTAAAGAAGAAGAAATACGACGAGGCTGAAACCGGTGACGCTGCAGAAAGAAACAGCAAGAGCGGTGCTTGAGAGATAAAGCTCACCGAGATGACCAACCATCATTATAGAAACCGTTAGAAGAAAATACATTGAAGAATTCACTGCAACCATTGGACCGGCGATGTAGCCGAGCCTTCTCATCTCTTGAAAAAACCCATCTTTCTTGCTTTCTTCTTCTTCTCTGACGACGAGCAAACCCTTCTCCGCTGAATCCATTCTTTCTTCTTCTCCGGTGGTTTTGGTTTTTGTTTCTTAATATTAATCGATCTCTCTCTGATTTATACTTTATGTTTTTGTTTCTTTGTGTGGAATTTAGGGGAGTGTCGTATCAAGATTCTACACCTCCAGAAGATACAGACTTAACAATATTCGTCTTCTTTATATTCGGCCGCAAATGTCACATTTTAAATGTCAAAAATATCATTTTAAAAAAAAAATTCAAAAAATGTTACTAAAATTATACTTCATATGTTAATATAAGATGTTTTGGTTAAAAACACGCATATTAATAAATTACTTTTATTATAAAAAGTATTATTTAAGATATATAGATATATAAAATATTTTAGTCAATCACTAAAAAAGGTGATTAGCTCAATAATATGTTATAACTGAAAATGTTAAGTGGTATGCCGTTTGATGATTATTTAGTCTGTATAGCTAAGAGAAAAGAATTTTAGACGAATTTACCCTTCTGACGCACCATAAAGCAAACTGTTCAATTTGCCATAAAACAGATATAATATGATGTTTTTATTTTTTTAAATCAATTTATCTTTCATCAATTTTTTCTCCCTTTTGGTATCCACACCTATAATGTTTATTATTAGAACTTAATCATTTC